ATCATACGAAATTAATCATCGCCAAAAATAGATTTTTGCATGTACTTTGAGGAATTTCGATAAAAATTTCAACACATACCGACATGTGGCTGTGTGTGACTTTGTTGTTGTATTTTTATTCAATCAGGCGCCTGTCTGCATATTCACTCACAATTGTGGAGCTAATTAATCGACACCATTAACATGGAAAAAACTGTATCAGAAAGAAAAACACTTGACAACGCACTTTACAAATGTTTGCAATGAATTCACAACTAGCCTCGATAATCGCCGGTAATAAAGCCGGCAGCAATTTTATGTGTGCGTGTGTCTTTGCTTGATATTTGATCTACAATTACAAAAAAAAGAGACAAACGCGTTTGCACACACACACGAACTCACGCAAATAACCCTGGCTCGTAAAAGTAACGCTTGCAGGCCATAAACTACCGAAGAGGTAAGTTATCACATAAAAGCCTCTTGAATTCCAATCAAAGATAACACATTTCCACTTCAACTCTAAGAAGCAACACCGACTCGTGGTCACATTTCCAAGCGTAAACAAAATGGCATTCAAAGTAAGCTAATAATCAATGAATGATGGTGGTCTCAGATGATTTGTGAATTAATTTGTTAATTTTGTGTGTGGTCTTATTTTTTCCGTTTTTAGTTTGTAGCTGTATTCGCACTTTTGGCCGTAGCCAATGCCGGTTTCATCGCCCAACCTCAGGTGTATCATGCTGCTCCCGCCCATGCTACTGTTGTCAAGACTGTAGCTCCCGTCTTGACCAAGGCTGCTGAGGAATACGATCCTCATCCCCAATACAAATACGGTTATGATGTTCAAGACGCCATTTCCGGTGACTCCAAGACCCAAGTTGAGGAACGTGATGGTGATGTAGTGCGTGGTGAATACTCTTTGAATGATTCTGATGGTTTCAGACGTACTGTCTCATATACTGCCGACCCCATCAATGGCTTCAATGCTGTTGTCCGTCGTGAACCCTTGGTTGCCAAGACTGTTGTGAAGACTGTCGCCCCAGTTGCCCACTATGCTGCCCCCGCTGCCGTAGTTAAGACTGTCGCCCCAGTTGCTCACTATGCTGCTGCTGCTCCCGTTGTCAAGACTTTTGCTCCATCATACACCACCTATGCTGCTCCCGCCACCGTTGTTAAATCTGTAGCTCCAGCTTACACCACTTATGCTGCTGCCCCAGCTGCCATTAAGACTGTTGCTCCCGCCTACACCACCTATGCTGCTCCCGCTACCGTTGTCAAATCTGTAGCTCCTGCCTACACCACTTACTCGGCTCCTGCCGTTGTTAAGTCTGTAGCTCCCGCCTACACCACCTACTCTGCTCCTGCTGTTGTCAAGACTGTTGCCCCAGCCTATACCACCTACTCAGCTCCAGCTTACTACGCCCACCATCATTAAATGCCATTATTGTTGATAAAATTCATTATGTGACTGATGATAACCAATTTTTTGTTAGCCCAAATTATTGCCGTAGTTTGTAGATAAATAAAAAAAATATTTAATACAATCAAAATTAATAGTTGTTGTCAATATGAATGTTAGGAATTGAGACCATGCATAACGGCTCTTTCGGTATATATATACAAGTTCTCCACAAAATTGGACCATTCTAATGAGCCCCTTCTTCAAATTTAATATAAGTGCAAATATTAGATGAAATCGGTTATTCCCTTCGAGAGTGCACAGCAGACAGCTAGACCGACGAACTTACGGACATTTTTAAAACGACTCTGGGTTTTAAACCGATATTTGAGGAAGCCTTTTCAGCAATGACAACGATGTAATCGGAAGTTCATATTTTGGGTACCACTTCAGAAACTTTGGTTAGTAGATTTTATAGAATAATCGTATTACAAATAGCGACTGAAAATTAGCATTCATATTGTAACACTTTTTTATTACAGGCCCACCTCAATAAACATAAATTCTCGAGTAGCGGGAATTAAAATAAGTTACCTGGTGTCCTGTAAGGGCTGTACGGCGGTGGGTCTTATCGAAATCCGCATTTATATTGAAATAGTTTGGAAACTACATATGCGAATTTTATAACGGTAACATTGTCTTAAATAAAGACGCAGTGGAACGGAAAACTAGCACAACAGAGTGAGTGGACAGACTGCGATTGTAAACAAGAGAAACCGTAGACAAACAAACGATTGCAAAACTAATAACCACCAAATGAAAGGAGAGACAGAGGACGATACCAAAACAAAAAAAGCCGAACAATAATGGGTGGTGGATATTTTTTCTCGGGAGGAAACTTTTTTATGTCAAAAGAGAGAGTGAGAAAGAGAGAGAGAGAGATGAAAAGTGAGTGCAATTAGTGATGAAATAGGAAGAAGTATAAAAATTGTCTTGATATTAATGAAATGTACAATATGAAATGTTCATTAAAATGTATTTCTGTCAATATCTAGGTATGCCACATGACGAAATTGTTTAAATGATATTGTTTAAATTTTGGAATAACTCCATATCAGGGTAGGGGTTTAAATGGTAAAATCCTTCCGTAATGACATTTATCAATGTCCATACGTCCATGTTTAATACCCTTCAGAATAACATTCTATGTCGATTTTGCCGTGTCCGCCTGTTTAACCCACTACAGAGCCCGTAATATTTTGAAATTTTATATATGAATTGCTACATCGGTTTAGTATGGCAAATTATAAATTACGGTCCAAATTTTATGATAGGGCATCTGTATATCTGTATATTTTTATACCCTTCACCACAATGTGGTACAAGGTATTATGTCTTTGTGCATATGTTCGTAACAGGCAAAAGGAATCGAGATAGACCCATGGTTCCTTTTGAGAATATGCATAGAATCACTTTCTGAGTCGATTTACGCATGTCCGTCTGTCCGTCCGTCCATGTATTTTTGTGAACAAAGTACAGGTCGCATTTATGATCCGATTTGGATGAATCTTAGCACAGTTCACTTATTTGGCCCAAGGACGAAATTGGAGAAAATCGGTTCAGATTTAGATATAGGACGAAATTGGAGAAAATCAGATTTAGATATAGCTCCCATATATAGTTTCGTCCCATTTTATGTGAATGATGCACCAAACTCCCAATATTTGTCCGATAGTGACAAAATTTAGCACAGAGTACTGAATTAGGTCCAGACTGATATCTACGAAGTTTTGTTAAAATCAGTTTAGATTTAGATATAGCTCCCATATAAAGTTTCGCCCGATTTTTTGTGAATGATGCATCAAACTGCCAATATGTGTCCGATTGAGACAAAATTTTGCACAGAGTACTGAATTAGGTCCAGATTGATGTCTGCGAAGTTTTGTTCAGATTTAGATATTGCTCTCATATATAGTTTCGTCTGATTTTTTGTCCCAATACCTGTCCGGTTGGGACAAAATTTTGCATAGTAAATGCAATTGAGAAAAAATTACGTGTGATAAGGTTAGTTGAAATCGGTTCAGATTTTGGTATAGATCTTATATATATTTTCGTTCGATTTTAAGTAAATGGTGCTCCGGATATTTGTTGGATTTACACGAGCTTTAGCAGAGGGTATTAAATTGAATATAGAGTGATAACAAATAACAAATGGTGTATGCAACGGTTGCCCAATTAGGTCCATGTGTATATATAGCTCCTATTCATAATTTTATTCGATTTCATACAAATGGTACACCAAAGAAACTTTCCGTACTGGTTCTATATTCTGAAGGCTTTAATTGTATCTCATCAATTGACATTAATTTGGCATTCAAAGTTATTGAATGATGAAAAATCCGTATGCAGAAATGTTTCGATATCACTGTGAGATCGATCGATGTCATGAGCTGAGGTGGATAATTTCTATTGAGGACGAATTCCTTGGTGAGTATATGAAAACCCCAAGAAGGTTCGGAGATGTGGCGGTTTTGCATTTTGGCATATACCTCTATAGCTTCATATATATATGAAATATAGTGTGTAATTTTTGAGATTACATTTCTGCAGTATAATCGATTTTTTAGATTTTTTTGTAATAAAAGTCCCGTCCAATTCTGATTTCTTGTTCCACATTCCAAAGCTATTTCATCCTCGCTCACTATATTTTCACGAGGCAGATCAGAATATAAGTTAGCATCATCTTTTAAGTTCGAACCTAAGGAGGTGTTTAATGTTCCCTTTTCATGGGTCATATTTTAGTGTCGTGAAAATTTTGCATTGCTCTTCGAGTCATTCTTATTGTATAATTCATTGCTTATGAGTCATTACAACTTACTGAAATTCTTTGAAACATTATTGAATGCAAAAAAATTGAATAGACGAATTCTTTATGTGTTTTATACGAGATTTATGTGATATTTCAAAGCAATTTGCCATAAGATGTTATACATTGACAGAATATTAAGAGTAAACTTAAGTGGGAATTTATGCAAATATTTGGTATATATTCGTGGACCATATACAGTCAAACATAAATATAACGACCACCATTAACAGAGAACTATTCGGAATAACGGTTCCAAAATTGTAAAAATACAACAGATTTGCCGATCAAAAATTTAACCCTTAATTATAAATACGGTCCATTGCATTCAAATTTTGAATTTTCTAAAATAATTAACATAATATTGTATGCATACATATGTTCGCACACACATCCTATTGGAGACAATTAATCCAATTCTGATTTGTATTGAAAACAAGTCAGCAAAATGTATTCTTATCTACTAACACCATTGGCCAAAAAATAATGCTGTTATGAAATTATATGATGGATATATGAATGTAGGAGTGCAATGTTGCCATGTCCAGTCGTGTATAGAATATTAATAATAACCAAAAACTCTGAAAAGAATAGAAGACAATAACTGCATATCAATGAAGATGATTCAAAGACGATATAACAACGCCAAGTATAAATTGTGGCTAATACTCGGTGGCAAGACACATTCAGTGTTTAAGACACAAAGTGTTAAGAACAAATAAGTGGCTTAAAAACATACAAACGAACAAACAAAAAATGGTCTTCAAGGTTAGTTGAAAAAGAAAAAAAATACAAAAACAAATGAAAAAAATAAAAAAGTGAAATATATCAAAAATGTGATATTAAAATGAAAAAGCCTTAAAATAATAATCAAAATCCCATGTGAAGTGTGTAAAATGTACTAAACTACTTTGTGTTACTTTCTTTTATCGTACACAGTTTGTAATTGTTCTCGCCTTCGTTGCTGCCGCCAGTGCCGCTGTTGTTGTTCCAGCTGGTCCCGTTTTGGCCAAGGCTGTCGAACTTGAGGAATACGATCCCCATCCCCAATACAAATTCGGCTATAATGTACAAGATGGTCTCTCGGGTGATTCCAAGGGCCATGTGGAGGAACGTGATGGTGATGTTGTTCGTGGTGAATACACTTTGGTCGATGCTGATGGCTTGAAACGTACCGTTACCTACACTGCTGACCCCATTAATGGCTTCAATGCTGTTGTTCGTCGTGAACCCATTGCTGTTGCCGCTCCCGTTGTTGCTGCTGCTCCTGTCGTAAAGGCTACTCCAGTTGTTGCTGCTGCCCCTGCCCCAGTCGTAAAGGCCGCTCCAGTTGTTGCTGCCGCTCCAGCCCCTGTTCTTGCTGCCCCTTATGTAGCTCCAGCTGCCTATGTCAGACATTTGTAGGATGGTAAAGATCTCAAAAACTTAATTATGGATACGATGATTTTTCTTAAGCAAATTTGAATGTGATAAATAAATTATTTAGAAATTATATTGCAATATATTTCATGAGGAAAATTGGTCAAACGGTTTTGTTATTGGTAAGTAAAAATAGAAAGAAAGTGAAGGCCAAACTGGACATTCATCTTTTGGGACCAGAAACTGTGCCCAAAGCTTTTGACTTTAGAGAATAGAAAAAATAAATATGTGCTCTAGAGTTAATTTCTCCCATCATACAGCGATCGTGACCAACCACTGTGTACTACAACAAGGAGAGAGCCTGGAGCTCTTTAGATCTACGGATATCTATAAACTTACGTTGCAGGACCAATGCAGGTAGGTATCGTTGATCTACTTTCGAGTTGCTGTGCGTCGTTATACAGCAATCGTAAACAACTACCATCTTACTGGACATATGCATCTGTAGTTGAGGGTACTGTGACAAGAATGTGAGTTTGAGGACCCCCGTGGAAGTAAAATATCAGCTCAAAATTCAGCGCATAAATCGATATTGAAGGAAGAGGTCAATGTATTCTAAAAAAAGATCAACTGAACAATACGAGAAATAAGTCATGCTCTTAGCAAGGTCTTGGATCACTTGATGTTGGGAGAGGTACATATATGATTCTGACAGAGGGGAACTTCGCTCCCTTTTAATTAAATATCAAAGACCTGTACTGGATCCGAGCAACAGAAATATATAATAAACGGATGTCCCTTCCTTCCACTTTGTCGGAAGAGAAGAAAATCATTAGTTCCTGAAATCAAGTGCGACGAGCAAACTTCAACGGAAAACTTTCAGGAATCCATTTAAAGAGGCCAATAAATCTGACAAGCATCAAGAAGATAATCATTAGTTCCTGAAAACCTGCGCGACGAGCAAACTTCAACGGAAAACTTTCAGTAATCCATTGAAAGCGGCCAATAAATCTGACAAGCACCAAGAAATATAGTGAAGCCACTGAGTAATTCGAAAATTCTAAGAAGAACACAAGAGCGATTCGATAGATAACGATAATAATCAAACTATATCAAATTATACACTTTGCCCAGCCCATCGGTAATCGGAGTCATCAGGAGGGTGCTGGTTCGTTAAAGGATGGTAAGTTCAGAATGCATGCCCCCTGTTTTGAAAAAAGGAGAATTACGATTAAAAATAAAAGCAAGAGACACACGCATAGGGAACTGCAACAGACACACTCTTAGGAAACTGCATGAGGACCTAAACGCTGTTACACACTATGAAAGCCTGCATTAGAAGTAGGTGATTGTAGACACCTGGCTCTGAAGCTTACAAAGACGCTAAAAGAGAAGACCAGAAGGCCTTCATATAGATGGTCTTATTGTAGAAGACCAGAAAGTCTTCTTATAGAAGACCAGAAGGTCTTCCTATAGAAGACCAGAAGGACTTCTTACAGAAGACCACAAAGTCTTCTTATAGAAGACCAGGGAAGGTCTTCCTATGGAAGACTAGTATGTCCTCCTATGGAAGACCAGAAGGTCTTCTTATAGCACACCAGAAACTCTTCTTATAGAAGAGCACAATGTCTTCTTATAGAAGACCAGAAAGTTTCCCTATAGAAGACCAGAAGGTCTTCTTATAGAAGACCAGAAGGTATTCTTATAGAAGACCAGAAGGTCTTCTTATAGAAGACCAGAAGGTCTTCTTATAGAAGACCAGAAGGTCTTCTTATAGAAGACCAGAAGGTCTTCTTATAGAAGACCAGTAATCAGTAATTCTTATTATAGAAGGCTATTAGGTCTTGTTATAGAAGACCAGCAGGTCTTCTTATAGGAGACCAGCAGTTCTTCTTAAAGAGGACCAGAAGGTCTTCTTATAGAAGACCACAAAATCTTCTTATAGAAGACAACAAAGTCTTCCTATAAAAGACCAGGAAGTCTTCCTACAGAAGACCAGAAGGTCTTCCTATAGAAGACCAGAAGGTTTTCCTATAGAAGACCAGAAGGTCATCCTATAGAAGACCAGAAGGTCATCCTATGGAAGACCAGAAGGTCTTCTTATAGCAGTCCACAAGGTCTTCTATGCCAGACCAGAAAGTCTTCGTATGTAAGACCAGAAGGTCTTCGTATTGAAGACCACGTGATCCTCATATAGACGACAAGAAGGTCTTCGTTTAGAAGAACAGTGGGTCTTCATATTGAAGACGAGAAGGTCTTCATATAGAAGACCAGAAGGTCTTCATATAGAGGAACAGCAGGTCTTCGTATAGAGGAGCAGAATGTCTTCGTATAGAAAACCGGAATTTCTTCATATACAGGAGCAGAAGGTTTCATATAGATGAGCAGGAAGCTTTTGTATAGTAGACTAGTAGGTTGTCATATAGTAGTCCAGTTGGTTTTCATATAGAAGTCCAGAAGGGTTCATATAGAAGACCAGAAGGTATTTATAATAATAATAGAAGTCCCAAAGTTCTTCCAGTTGGATAATACAAGACCTTCTTGTAGATCACCAGAAGTTCATCTTGTAGAACATCAAAAGGCATCTTTCTTGAAGGCCAGAAAATATTCTTTCAGAAGACCAGATTTTCGAAGGTCTTCTTGAAGAAGACCGGTTTTTGGAAGGACTCCTAATGGAAGACCTGAAGACTATCTTAAAGCAGACCAGATTGTGGAAGATATTTTTATAGAATACCAGAATGTCTGCTTATAAAAGATCATATTGTAAAATGCCTTTAATATAAGATAATACACTTTTCTTAGATAGCACCAAAAATTATTCGTTTTTATGGAAGACAAAAAATGTCCTTATTTAAAACCGAGAGCTTTCCTTTAAGAAGACCCCCATAATTAATATATCCTCTTTTTTCAAATATTTTGCAAATTTATTTTATAACATAGAAAAACAAATAACAATATTATAACAATGAAATAAATGACATTCTAATGATGTTCATGATAGACTTGTGGTACAGCGTGATATTGCTTAACAATTGTGGGTGTTGGAGCAACATATGTTACGGGGGTAACTTTCTTAACAATTGTCTTTACTTGATCCAAGGGAATGCGGTTAACGACAGCATTGAATCCACTATGAGGATCAACAGTATATTGAACAACACGTCTGTAACCATCGGCATCAATCAATGAATATTCACCACGAACAACATCACCATCACGTTCTTCCGTTTGACTATGGACATCACCGGTATGTTCATCATTCACATCATAGTTGAAATTATATTGAGGATGATCATCATAGTGGACATCATGTTTCACAACAGCGGGCTTAGTATGGGCATAATTTACGGGGGTAACAGTTTTAACGACGGTGGTGGGTACTGCAACAGGATGATAAACTTGGGGAGCTGGTTCAGGATGATGATAATATGATGGTAATACTCCAGCATTGACGGCAACAGCCAAAAGTGCAAGGATTGTGAGGTACTAAAAATTATTGACATGACGGTGGTGGGTACTGCAACAGGATGATAAACTTGGGGAGCTGGTTCAGGATGATGCTGATAATATGATGGCAATACTCCAGCATTGACGGCAACAGCCAAAAGTGCCTTTAAATTGATACCAAATATATTGTCGTATGTGGGATTTAAATATTTACAGGTAAGTACCTGTACTCAGATATTATTTAGTAACCCATTACCACATTAGAGGGAGAAATATCGCGCTGATGGCTTTGAAATTTTTCATGAAGTTCCAGTTATGGTCAAGAACAACGCCTACAATTTTCGGTGATGATCAGATTAAAATGGTAAATGGACTGAAAACATAATGTGTGTTTTCGAAAAATCACAACACAACCCACCGTGAAGGTAATCTGGAATAATTAGAAGGACTGTACTGATTTTGTTGTTAACCTCTAATATTTTTTAAATTGTTAAATCTTATGTTACATACCTTGAATGCCATTTTTTCAAATTTGTAAAATATTGTATACAAAATTAATTGTGTTATTTGTGTGACGCTGTGTCTCGTTATGGTTTGATATCCAAACGCCACTTTGTTTTTATATGCTTGAGTTAAATATTAAAGAAAGCTAAATTGCAATTGTTACATTTTAAAACAATAGGTTTTTATGGCGGCTGTTGTTGGTTTTGCTGCGCTATAAACATATGATGTATTTCTTTGTAGGTGTCAAAAAGTATTTATTTTCAATCGAAAATTCGAAAGTGTTTTGAAAGGAATCTGATATAATTATTATTATTGATTAAACAAATTCAAAGTATTTCAAATATGTGGTACAATATTATGACCAATTTAAATATTTGAATGCACAATTCCTGCCAAATTAATTCGACTAAAATAATCAATTTGGGCCGAATTGTGGGTCTTCCAATAAAAATGTTAATGTAAACTCATTGCCTTATCATCGCACTGTGGTTCAGAATTCGATTTTTTTTCCCAAATGTCTTGGAAAATATTAATGATAAAGGGTTTTTGCTAGGCCTTCTGTTGCCTTTAAGAAACATTAAAAATCAATTAGAGTTCTTACGAGATTAGCTATTTCTAAGGTACAGCATGTCATTAAATTTCTAACATTAGGTATTAAAACCGGGTTTTGTATTCATACGAATATACTTGAGAGAAGCCTCTGGCTTCCATGTAATTGTCCCAACGCATTTGATCCTGGTCTCAGAATCCATGTGAAATGACCTTAAATTGTCATTCCGTGTTCATAGTAGGGGAAATTTTTCTGTCAAAAAATTAATGTTCATAAGCTCCTTCCCATTCCATTTAAAATATTTAGATAGCCTCAAACGTATCTTCCGATCATTGTAGCAGCATTTTTACATGCGCGTTCTTAGTGGGTAAATAACATATTTGGAGAAAACTCTGTGAGACAAAATAGGGGTTGTTGGAGTGGTGGAAAATGCCTATTGAGAATGGAAGGCCTTGGTGAGTTTATGAAAACCCCAGATGGAAAAATTCGACATAGGTTAAAGTTCGGATCATTTTTTTTTTACTGGCGACCCTTTTATACATGAAGAGATTGTTTAAACCAGTGTATGGCATATATGTTTCAAATCAATGGCTGAGGGTTTGCAAATTCTTCGTATAGATATTCAAAATTTATACAACGACAAAAAAAACTATAAATTAGATGGACCAACAAGGATAATCATCGAAAAATATATTTTTCGCAAACACCAAATTACAGCCACTCCAGACGGCAAATGCGGATAAATAAACCTAAAACCCGAAAATGAGGAGAGACCTTTATATGGGGAGTAGTCACAAATTCGACTTATAAAGACTATTTTCAGAAAAAAATGAGATTAAACTTTTAAAATATCGATAGTGGGATGATACCCTTATATGGGAGCTAAAACGAACCGCGAATCGTTATTGATAATTGTTGAAGACGGTTTTCTTGTAGAAGGCCAAAAGATTTTCTTATAGAAGTTTTTTTGTAGAAGGCCAGGAGATTTTCAAATAGAAGGCCAGAAGGTTTTCATATATAGAAGACCGACAGATCAGAAGGTCTTATATATATAATTTTTATAGAAGGCCAGAAGGTCTTCATATAGGTAGACCCGAAAGTCTTCATATAGGTAGACCAGAAAGTATTCATATAGAATATCGGGTGGTCTTCATATAGAAGACCAGCAGATCTTCATATAGAAGACCAGCAGGTCTTCATATAGAAGACCAGAAGTTTTTCATATAGAAGACCAGAAGTCTTCATTCATCTTCATATTGAAGACCAGAAATTCTTCATATTGAAGACCAGCAATTCTTCATATAAGACCAGAAGTCTTCATATAGAAGACGTCTTCATATAGAAGACTTAAAGGTCTTCATATAGAAGACTTAAAGGTCTTCATATAAAACCCAAAGGTCTTCATATAGAAGACACTTCATATTGAAGACCATAAATTCTTCATATTGAAGACCAGATTCTTCATATTGAAGACCAGAAGTCTTCATATTGAAGACCAGAAAGTTTTCATATAGTAGACCAGAGGGTCTCTATATAGAAGACCAGAAGGTCTTCATATAGAAGATCAGAAGATCTTCATATAGAAGATCAGAAGATCTTCATATAGAAGACCAGAAGGTCTTCATATAGAAGACTAGAAGATCTTCATATAGAAGACCAAAGTCTTCATGTCTTCATATAGAAGACCTTTATAGAAGATCTGAAGGTCTTCATATAGAACATTGCATATAGAAGATTTGAAGGTCTTCATATGCGGTCTTCATACAGAAGACCAGAAGGACTTCATATAGAAGACCAGAATTTATGCATATAAAAGACCAGAAGGTCTTCATATAAAATACTTGAAGGTCTTCCTATAAAATACCAAAATGTCCTCCTATAGTATACTCGGCACTCCATGAAAACCCAAAACCAAAATGTCGAATAATAATGGGAATATCAATATATGGCGTCTATACCAAAACGAAGACCGATATTCCCTATTTTGAATACCCAATATCGCTGGAGTAGTATCAATGTATGTGCACTTTTAAAGCTCTATTTTGAACATTGCGGAGATATTTTTATATACCTGGACAATGTCATTAAGATACAGGCTCCACTCTTTGTCACGAGAGATATTTTCATATTCCTGGATGCAGAAGGCTATTATATTGAAATACTATCTGTGGTGGTATCCATCATACACTTTAAAGGAATGTTTGCATATATTTTCAAAATGTATGTGTGTATGCCCAATATTACTTTCAAAATACATATGAATGGAAACAATTTATCTCCTACACAACACAATTAGCATTGTTTACTAATAATAGTAGAAACAACAACACCAAACTATGAAAAGAAAGCCTTCAAATAAGAAATAAAAATTATATCGGTTGCTATTTTGCTTTCTATGTTAATTAGCTATAAATACTGAATTCAGTGCGGATATCAAACATACCAAACAATAACACCTCTTAAATAACACATAACATTTCGAAAACAATATTTTTCCAATTTAGAAAAAATGCCATTCAAGGTAAATTTACCAGCAATTTATCCATATTTCCTGATTCCATAATTTCTCATTTTTTCAGTACATCACAATCCTTGCACTTTTCGCTGCTGCCGTCAATGGCGGAGTATTACCATCATATTATCAGCATCATCCTGAACCAGCTCCCCAAGTATATCATCCTGTTGCAGTTCCCACAACCGTTGTTAAAACTGTTGCTCCCGTTGCTTATGCCCATGCCAAGCCCGTTGTGGTGAAACATGATGTCCACTATGATGATCATCCTCAATATAATTTCAACTACGATGTGAATGATGAATATACCGGTGATGTCCACAGCCATACGGAAGAACGTGATGGTGATGTTGTTCGTGGTGAATATTCATTGATTGATTCTGACGGTTACAGACGTGTTGTTCAATATACCGTTGATCCTCATAGTGGATTCAACGCTGTCGTTAACCGTATCCCCTTGGACCAGGTAAAGACAATTGTTAAGAAAGTTACCCCCGTAACTTATGTTGCTCCAACTTCCACAATTGTTAAGCAATATCACGCTGTACCACAAGTCTATCATGAACATCATTAGAATGTCATTTTTTCATTGTTATAATATTGTTATTTTCTTTATGTTATAAAATAAATTGTTATATTTTTTCTATAAAAAATTCTTTTGCTACATTATCAACATGGTATAATAATAGAAGGTAACAGCAAGTGTTGTTGTACAACAAACGATACAACAACCACATGGAAATTTGTTTTTGTAAGTTATACTAGTGTCAACGTCATTTGACAGAAAAATGTAAAGAAACAAATAAATTATATTTATTTTGAAAATGAAATATTTTCGAATCCTCAAAATAAAATTTGAAAAACATGAATGAAAATCTATCAAATTTATATTTCTATCGCTTCCACGTCATTCCTATAATTGAACAATTGCCACTTATATGTGTAACACATATGAAAATGCAGGGAATTGCGAGTTATTCAATGAAGAAAGATTTGCTTTCTCAAACTTTCCCAGCAGGCTGATTGAGTAAATTGAATACGGGAGCATATTTAATAAAGGACAATTTCAAATTGTATGCGTTCCCAATTTTCCTATTGGGTGATTTTTAAAAACATAATTTGTCAAATTCATATTGACACTAGTATTACGTTGGAATCAAATCAGCTGGGATTTGCTGTTACCTTTTATAATTGTACCATGCATTATCAATAAGTATGTCAGTCCATGTTAAATTGTAAACAAAGTACAGGTTACATTTATGATCCGAATTGGATGAAATTTGGCATACGTCATTTATTTGGCCCAATGACGAACCTTATTGAAATTGGGAAAAATCTGTTCAGATTTAGATATAGCTCCCATATATGTTTTCGTCCGATTTAAGGTAAATGATGCACCAAAGTCCTTAATATCTTTCGATTCGCACGAAATTTGGCGCAGCGTACTGAATTAAGCCTAGAATGATGTGTGCTAAGTTTCATGAAAATCGGTTCAGATTTAGATATAGCTCCGATATATATTTTCGTCCGATTTAGGATAAATGGTGCACCAAATTCCCTAAATATTTTTCGATATGCACGAAATTTGGAACAGCGTTTTGAATTAAGTCTATAATGATGTGTATTAAGTTTCGTGAAAATCGGTTCAGATTTAGATATAGCTCCCATATATAATTTCGCCCGATTTGGGCCCCCAAAGTCCCTATATATCTCTCGATTTGCACGAAATTTGGCACAGCATAATGAATTGGGTCTAGAATGATGTGTGTTAAGCTTCTTAAAAATCGGTTTATATATTTTCGTCGGATTTAAGGGAAATTGTGCACCAAAGTCCCTATATATCTTTGGATTTTCACGAAATTTGGTACAGCGTACTGAATAAAGTCTACATAGATGTGTATTAAGTTTTGTGAAAATCGGTTCAGATTTAGATATAGCTCCCATATATATTTTCGTCGGATTTTAGGTAAATGGTGCACCAGGGTCCCTATATATCTTTCGATTTGCACGAAATTTGTTATAGCGTACTGAATGAAGTCTAGATTGATATGTGTTAAGTTAGATATATAAGTTAGATATAAATGCTGCACCGAATTCCCCAGGTGGGTCCGATTGGCACAAAATTTTGCCTAACTTATTGAAGTTATTATGAGATAATGTGTGGTAAGTTTTGTTGAAATCGGTTCAAAATTTGATATAGTTCATATATATAGTTTCCGCAGATTTTAAGTAAAATGTGCACCAAAGACCCAAAGTTATATAGTTTTTATAAAATAGCATGTGGAAAGTTTTATTGAAATCGTTTCAAATTTGGATAGAGCTACCATACATATTTTCTCCCGATTTTAAATGATGCACCAAGAACTCAAAATGTGGCCGATATTCTGTAATGTGCTATGAAATCGGCATAGATTTCGATATAGCTTTTATAAATATTTTCGTCCGATTTGAAGTAAATGGTGCACCAAACTCCTCATGTTTATCAGATATGTATCTAAATAATCAACGGGTGCCCGGGTGCTACTCTATTTCTGACCAAATGAAAAATTTTGTATATGTTGCAGAAAGATATTTTTATAGGTCCAATTTCATTTTACTGATCCTTCAAAAATGCGACGTCTGTTAAGATTCATCTGTTGAATATACAGATGTATGACAAATGACCGCAATCCCAAATTGTAGCCTTTAAATTGAAAAGTGAGGTTTCTGCGCAGATGTATACCTGTAAAACCTGCTACAGACAGGCAGACAGATGGATATCGACACAGAATTTTATTCTTATCAAGAATATATATATATATATATATATATATATACACTTTGTGGGATATCCGATGAATCTTTCGAGATGCTGCAACCTGTTCGGGTCAAAGAAGACCCATATAATTTTTGATTGTTATGCCTTTATATCTAGTTGATAAAAATATATGATTTTCTGGCCGATTTAGCCACCCGAACATTTACACGGAGAAGGGTAATATAATAATCGACCAATATTTAACGGAGTCACACTTTTTGTGAAAATGGCAAAATTTGTGTTTTATCGCGTATATATATTTTTTCTGAATGACACTGATCGGATATCAAATTCAAAATTATAAGCCAAACATCACAAATGTAGCATAGAGGGAGGGACCAAATATTAAGAATAATTGTTTTGGAAAGGAACCAAGATTTTTGGTTTGTAAAATAACTCAATTTGAATATCATGGGGTATAATTTTACTCCGGGAAAACATGGTTCGAAAAAAGATTGCAGGGTAAGAAAAAAGAGAGTACAAATATCGGGAAATGTTGCCCAGGCTCGGAATACAGATCCGTTCGACTATACGAGAATTGTCTTTTCAAAAATTAAAGTCCAGCCACAGTTGTAGGCTATCACATGACCGCCCTTTTACTTTTCGATTTGATTTATTACTGAATGAACGCACAGTTGGGAACAGACCCACACCTCCTACCGCTGCATTTAATTAAACCATGAAAATATGAGCTTATATATAAATATTTAACCGTTGAAAATATTGTGTATACATAAGTGAAAGTGTGTAATATATCACATTGACAGATTTTTATAATATGACAATTTTACGTTCAAAATTCTGCATTTTATTGCCATTGGCGTAACTAATTAATATTTGTGATTCAATAATTTGTTTCTGATAAGTGTGTAAACATTGTTTTCAGCCTTTTCGGCGTCTGCAGTAATCAACAGTGTTCAATACTGTTTCTATATATCGAAGAAAGGCGACCTAAGTCATTTCAATATCCACCTGTCTATAAGGGAATAGATAGGTAGATAGACATGTTACTTAATTCAACAAAAACTGAAGGTCATTCAAATTTTGCTAATGAACAACAAGAGTTGAAAGTATTTTTTTTTTTCAAGATAAATATTTATTTTATAAAGAGATGTTAAACAATAAGTAAATAAATGAAAGTGACAGGTGTAAAGCGATATACATAAATCATTTGAAATTTGTTTTCGACTTACAAAAAATAAGAGTGATATTGAAAAATGCAAATTGCTATAAATACCAATATAATATTGAAAATCCAGCATACAAAACCACAACTCATTTGTTTAATAACAAAATTAGTGAACTACAACTTATTCAAAATTTCAAAATGGCATTTAAGGTAAATATCCCACATATAAAAATTTATTTTAAAGTCCATAGATTAATATGTATTTTATTATCCTTACAGTTCCTTACCATCGTCTCCTTTATTGCTGTTGCCAGTGCTGGTGTCTTGCCATTACCTCAAGTATATCATCCAGCTCCCACGGCAGTTGTGAAAACGATTGCACCAGTAGCATATGCCCATGCCAAACCCGTTCTGGTGAAACATGATGTCCACTATGATGACCATCCTCAATATAACTACAACTATGATGTGAATGATGAACATACCGGGGATGTCCATAGCCAAACGGAAGAACGTGACGGTGATGTGGTTCGTGGTGAATATTCATTGATTGATGCTGATGGTTTCCGCCGTGTCGTTCAATACACCGTTGATCCTCACAGCGGTTTCAATGCTGTCGTAAATCGTTATCCTTTGGATCATGTCAAAACTGTTGTCAAACAAGTAGCTCCCGTTACTTTGATTAAACAATATCCCGTACCACAAGCCTATCATCAACATCATTAGAATGCCATTTTTGTAAAATAATTTACATTGTTTTTGTTTATTGATTTTTAATATAGAGAATAAATTGTTGAATTTTGAAAAAATATATATTTTTTTTTTAAATTAAACTAATACCAACAATCATGAATTCTAAAAAGAATATATTTGAAGGTATATATGAGGCGTGGATTTTTAAAAACATGTTTTAAGGCCCACAAGAACACATTTTTAAAGGAACAAGAGGCCTGGATTTTTAAAAGAATATTTTTCAAGGCCTATAGGTGGCGTGGATTTTTAAAAGAATATTTTTACAGGGCCTATAAGAGGCGTGGATTTTTAAAGGAATATTTTTACAGGGCCCATAAGAGGCGTGGATTTTTAATGTAAATTTTTACAGGGCCTATAAGAGGCGTGGATTTTTAAAGTAAATTTTTACAGGGCCTATAAGAGGCGTGGATTTTTAAAGTAAATTTTTACAGGGCCTATAAGAGGCGTGGATTTTTAAAGTAAATTTTTACAGGGCCTATAAGAGGCGTGGATTTTTAAAGTAAATTTTTACAGGGCCTATAAGAGGCGTGGATTTTTAAAGTAAATTTTTACAGGGCCTATAAGAGGCGTGGATTTTTAAAGTAAATTTTTACAGGGCCTATAAGAGGCGTGGATTTTTAAAGTAAATTTTCTCGAGGACCTGTACACCAATAAAAGAGGATTTTTAAAGTAAATTTTTACAGGGCCTATAAGAGGCGTGGATTTTTAAAGATTTTTTTTAAGAAGGCTTGGATTTTTTAAAAGAATATTTTTCAAAGCCTATAAGAAGGCGTTGATTTTTTAAAAGAATATTTTTCAAAGTAATATTTTTGAAGGTCTATGACCTCGTCTCCAGATTCACTCCAGTAGATGAGCGCATTGCTATAATCCGTATAAAAGCGAAGTTCTTCTACAAAAATCTCATTTGCGCCCATGCTCCGACCGAAGATATAGATGAACAGACCAAAGACATATTTTACGAGCGCATAGAAACAGCATATGACCGTTGCCCTGCTAGGAGATTTTAATGCAAAAATCGGAAAGGAAAACATCTTCGGCTCAATCGTGGGAAAATTCAGCCTTCATGAAGAAACACCTGTCAACTGCAAGAGGTTTATTGACTTCGCGGCAGCAAAAAACATGGTAGTTAGCCGCACCAGATTCAAGCATCTCGATATGCACAAGGCCACCTGGATCTCTCCTGATCAAGTAACGAGAAATCAAATTGATCATGTTGTGATAGACGGAAGGCATTCATCCAGTATTTTAGACGTCCGATCGATTCGAGGAGCGAATATCGATTCGGACCATTACCTTGTGGCAGCCAAGGTAGGCACCCGTTTTAATATGGCAGCAAAGGTGCGATCTAACACAACACGGAAACTCGACGTCGAAAAGCTGCAAACACAACAGGTAGCCGAGGCCTACTCCGCTCAACTTACCAATCTGATTGAAGAAAGCACTTATTGTCCCGATAATAGTATAGAAACTGCAGCCAAAGCAACACTTGGGTACCAACAACCACCACCAAGAAACCCATGGTACGATCAGGAGTGTCGTAATGCTGCTGATGTGAAAAACGCAGCGTATATGGCAACCCTGCAGACAGTAGCAACACGTAACGTGATGGAGAATTTCGGGAGAAAAGCAGAGAGGAAAAACGTGTTTTTTGAAAAAAGTAGAAAGAACAAGAAAAACGTGAGCGTGAGCAAATCGAGATGTACAGGAGTCAGAATGAAGTCCGGAAATTCTACCAACGAGTAAAACACCAAACCGAAGGCTTTGGTGCAGGCACATCCTCCTGTAGAGATGAAGAAGGAAACCTGGTGACAGATACAGACAGCGAGTTGAGGATCTGGAAGGAGCATTTTGAAAAGCTTCTGGTATCAAATAGTGTCGTTGAAGAAGATACCCCAGAACCAATAAGAGATGATGGTATAGAGTGTTTGCCACCTAGCCAAAATGAGGTCATAAAAGCAATTAATCCGATCAAGAGCAACAAAGCAGCAGGAGCCGAGCTGATTAGTACAATTTGGCTAGATGATTGCGTAGACTTTTAAAACATTTCTTTCAAGGCCAGCAATAGGCGTAGATTTTTAAAAGATTTTTTTTTTTTCAAGGCTAACAAGAGTCGTAGATTTTTAAAAGATTGTTTTTTTTTCAAGGCTAACAAGAGGCGTAGATTTTTAAAAGATTGTTTTTTCAAGGCTAACAAGAGTCGTAGATTTTTAAAAGATTGTTTTTTTTTTCAAGGCTAACAAGAGGCGTAGATTTTTAAAAGAACTTTTTATGAACTCTGTGGAAACATATAATATATAATATTTCTGTTACCCTAGAGTTAATTATAATTGAAACAAATAAGTATTTTTTTTCTTATTATTTATCTGTATTTAAATTAAGTTTTTAAAACTGGTCAACAACGAAAGCTACAAGTCTCAACAAGCAGATCCCTTTTTACAAGTGTCTGACGGCATAAGCGGCTGGGGCAACATAAGGAGCGGCAACAACGGGAGCAGCTTTAACTACTGGAGCGGCAGCAACAACGGGGGCAGCTTTGACAACGGGAGCGGCAACAGCAACAAGAGGATCACGACGAACGACAGCGTTGAAACCATTGATGGGATCGGCAACATAGCTGACGGTACGTTTGTAACCATCAGCATCGATCAATGAGTATTCACCACGAACGATGTCACCATCACGTTCTTCTACATGACCCTTGTTGTCACCCGAGAGAGCATCTTGCACATCATATCCGTATTTGTATTGGGGATGAGGATCGTATTCTTCAAGTTCGACAGTCTTGGCCAAGACGGGAGCACTGGGTACGATGACAGCAGCGCTGGCGGCAGCGACAAAAGCGAGAGCGATAACGAACTGTAAGTAAGAATAATTTTTGTTAGATTTTTTCTTTGCACATTTTTTTTCAATAATAATTATTTTTGTTAGATATTTGCTTTGCACATTTTTCAATTAATGATTTTTATACCCTACACAACTATGTTGTCAGGGTATTATAGCTTTGTGCAGCCCCAAATGTTTGTAACGCCGCGAAATATTGGTCCTAGACCCACCTTTAAGTATACCGATCGTCATATCTCGACTAGCTGAGTCGATCTAGACATGTGTGTCCGTCCGTCCGTCCGTCCGTCCGTCCGTCCGTCTGTCCATTATAATTTGTAAACACGATACAGGCCACAGTTATGGACCAATCTTCACGAAATTTTGCATGTAGGATGGGTTCTGGCCAATGAAAACCCCTATTGTTTTTGGAAAAGATCGGTTAATATTTAGGGGATGAAATGGACCAAATACTAAATTTTTGTCGGTTTTTCTGGTCGCTCCAGAGGCCGCAATTATGACCCAAACACCGCGAATTTTTGCATGGAGAAGGGGATCGGGCCAGAGAATAAGCATGCATGTTTTGATAAAGATCGGTCAATATTTAGCGGGTTAAATGGACCCTGACTTTTGTGTGAAAAATGACAAAATTTGTATTCTATGGCATATATATTTACTCCTGGAGGATGTAGACCCCAGGAGTTGATAGCATATTCAAGAGGAGTGGTTGGCCTTTAAATTGATACCAAATATAGTGATGTATCTACTCAGATGTGGGAGTTACAGTCAAATATTTACAGGTGCTTACGTATTCAGATATTATTTAGTAACCCATTACCACATTGGAGGGAGAAATATCGCGCTGATGGCTTTGAAATTTTTCATGAAGTTCCAGTTATAGTCAAGAACAACGCCTACAATTTTCGGCGATGATCAGATTAAAATTTTGGGATGAAATGGACGAAAAACATAATTTTTTGTGTGTTTTCGAGTAGAGTATAATCCGAAAATCACAACACAACCCACCGTGAAGGTAATTAGAAGGCCTGTACTGAATATTCGAAAAAAGTAAGAAAGAGGTGTTGTTAACCTCTAATCGGACAAGAGGGGGCGAATATCACGAAATATTACTCAGACTCGGAATAAACATCCTCAGAAAGTTAGAGTTCGTGGTAGTTGTGTAGGGTATCGTATGGTCGGCCCCGTCCGACTATACTGCTCCGCTCACTGGTTTGAATTAAGTTTTTATACCCTACACAACTATGTTGTCAGGGTATTATAGCTTTGTGCAGCCCCAAATGTTTGTAACGCCGCGAAATATTGGTCGTAGACCCACCTTTAAGTATACCGATCGTCATATCTCGACTAGCTGAGTCGATCTAGACATGTGTGTCCGTCCGTCCGTCCGTCCGTCTGTCCATTATAATTTGTAAACACGATACAGGCCACAGTTATGGACCAATCTTCACGAAATTTTGCATGTAGGATGGGTTCTGGCCAATGAAGACCCCTATTGTTTTTGGAAAAGATCGGTTAATATTTAGGGGATGAAATGGACCAAATACTAAATTTTTGTCGGTTTTTCTGGTCGCTCCAGAGGCCGCAATTATGGTCCAAACACCGCGAATTTTTGCATGGAGAAGGGGATCGGGCCAGAGAATAAGCATGCATGTTTTGATAAAGATCGGTCAATATTTAGCGGGTCAAATGGACCCTGACTTTTGTGTGAAAAATTACAAAATTTGTATTCTATGGCATATATATTTACTCCTGGAGGATGTAGTCCCCAGGATTTGATAGCATATCCAAGAGGAGTGGTTGGCCTTTAAATTGATACCAAATATACTGATGTATCTACTCAGATGTGGGAGTTACAGTCAAATATTTACAGGTGCTTACGTAATCAGATATTATTTAGTAACCCATTACCACATTAGAGGGAGAAATATCGCGCTGATGGCTTTGAAATTTTTCATGAAGTTCCAGTTATGGTCAAGAACAACGCCTACAATTTTCGGTGATGATCAGATTAAAATTTTGGGATGAAATGGACCGAAAACATAATTTTTTGTGTGTTTTCGAGTAGAATATAATCTGGAAATCACAACACAACCCACCGTGAAGGTAATCTGGACAAGTAATTAGAAGGACTG